CTTGCAGAAACCAAGGCTCAAAATGCAAAACAGAAAACTGGGACCAATCAGTGCACCCCAATCTAGTTTTGGGCTCCACCAATCTTTCAGTTTCACTTCCCCATCATTTACACTGCACTACCAGTAAAAAAGAAGTACCTACAGCTCATCTCTGACATGTAGCTTCCAATGTACTTTACAATGGGTGAAAAATACCTTCCATGTTACAGATGGAAAAAGTGACACTTGAATTTTATGCGCCCTGTGCTAAGGAAGCCTGGGGTACTTTGTGGTCTACTGGACATCAGTCAAACAGACTTGCTGTACAGATTTTAAATGGGGTCTATAACCTTTCTATGCCCCCAGTCAAGCTACAAATAAACTGAAAAGTATTAGTCAATGATTCCACAGAATTAGGTCAAAAGATATGATGTAACGACAAGCCAAGTTGCATGTGAGCGGCCTATGTAAACTAAACCTGGCCTCATCCACCTTAAGACATAACTCCTTATTCAGGATAATAAATTCTTGAACTGCTGAAACCAGTGTCTGTTGAGCTGTCAACTTCAAACTGCCTGCATTCCTTGGGTTACTTGCATTACTTTATTATTCTAGAACAAGATGTGGGTTTACAATGCCTACAGCACCTAGAAAAATACCAAAATAAACCAAATGAAATCTTGGCCAAATATATTTCATGTCAAAGTTCCCCCTGGAATTAAGGGGGATGGAATTTCATCTGCATGCTTCAAGATGACTAGAGGGAAGCATTTACCTTTCCAAAACAGAGTTGAGAGTTTTGCATGGTGCCTATTTCTGATTCTCACTGCAAGGGCATGTTACACAGACCACGTTTACAAGGCTGTGGAGACACAGTAGCCAGGAGAAATATACCTCTGTGTTTCTATGCCTCGCATGGTATACATGTTTTATATGGAAATGCAGCTTTATCTCAGTTTTCAAGCTATTTCTGCTTATGAAGCAATGTCATATACTTTAGCAAGTTATGAATATTCTTTTCAGCTCAAACTGTTAAGAACCTCAAATTCTGTTAAAAAAAAATCCAAAACAAAAACCCTCTAAAAATTTTGCCTCGTGTGACAAATTATTTTGTGTTAAAAATTTCAGCTCTTGAAAAGTCCACAACAAACAAATCTGCCATTGAATTTCACTCATGTCAAATGCTGTACCTCAGTCTTGGTGGAGAAAAATCTTAAAATGACATAGTTTGGGTTTTAGTCTCTCTGTGTTGTGTGTCGTCCCCCCCCTCCCCACCCCAATTATTTGTCATCTATAGAAACACTACTGTGAAAAAAAAAAAACAAAAACAAAAACAAATGTTTTTAAGGGTTTGTAAAAGAACTGATTCCTGTTTTTCTAACATGGTGACAGCTCTGCCCAATTGATAACATTTGAAAAGAGTGTCTTGGTGGGAATGCTGATACAACTGTAGGCGCAAGAAAATGCACCTCAACTTCAGATTGCAAAAATGCAAGAACAAACTAACAGTTAAGGTGCCTCGTTATCCTACAGAACCACAGGTCCCATCTGTGTGCATTTGTAACTGTACCTTGCCAAGACAAAGGGAAAGCAGCGGCTATAGTAACTGTATCTGGCAAAAGCAAATTCTGCTTCTTGACAGAAAACCTATAAACAGATCTTTCCCCCCAGCCCCCTTCTTTCTTTGAGGGAGAAATTCCATACATTTTGAAGATCCCATGCGAACTATTTTAAAAACTGTTATGAAATATGACATTTTAAAAGGTGCAAATTAATAGCATGAAAAGACAATAATGGATACTGACAGCGGAGGCCTTTTTCTGTTACGGGTTTTGGTTTTTGTTTTGTTTGGGCATTTTGGTTTTTGGTTTTGGGGCTCTGTTTGGTTTGTTTTGTTTTTTTTTTAACCAAGATTTCTTTAAAAGGGCAAGTAATATTCCCACAGAAGTTGCAGAAGCCCCCCTCCCTTTAAGGCACATAAAGCTAACTTAAACATTAGCAGGCATATTATAAACCATATAATCCTAATAATTCAGTCTCTTCAATTCCCAACATGCTGAATTCCATTATTTATAAAGAACCAAGTAACAAGATATTCAGCATTATGTGACAATTGAAAAAGCTTACCTAAAAATAATAGTAAAGCAGCAGTACTTACTAGTGATGACACAATACAACAATTTTTGGACTTCTTATCGCTAACAGCCCAGACTAGTACTGCCTATGCATTATAGATTATTGTTTCCATCTATATTGACGATATAATGTAAACACGACTTTGAACATGAATGCATTTTTACAGAAGCAAGTTAGCACCTTAACCTGACTCAACAGCAAGTTTTCTTATTGTTTCATATACACAAATATGCAGAGTAGCATAAGAAATGTGTATGCGTTTATGCTGCATGTATACTGGTACACCACCTGTTAATCAAAATAATAATCCAGGAACATGCTACAGAAATACATCCACACTCTGTTAAGTACTAAACATGAACTTCTGATTGGTCAGTATTAGATACAGCACATGAACAACCATCTAACTAACACTGCATTCTGAAATTTAGTGATATTGTCTGACGCAACTCTCAGCATCTCCTCAAATTTGTTAAGTTTCACACGGGTTTTATCCTGTATTTATGCATCTTTAAGAAACAGGAAAGCAGACAGCACACTTCGGTATTCGAAAGCCAAGCACACGTTTGAAGTTAAATCTAGTAAAAAAAATCCAAACAAACCAAACAAAAAAACCCACATAAAAAACAAAACACAAGTACTTCCACCTTCACTAAAATACAGTGCCAAAGCATTTTGCATTCCAAAATCTCCATTTCATAAAAACTTAAGATTGCGCTATCAGGAAGGGTTTGATTTCTGCACTGCAACACTGAAACCCATGCTTGTTTTCTTTCTTGGCTGAAACACTGAGCCTTTAGTGCTGTCTTAACTTCAATCTTCAGTTAAACCAAAAAAAATGCAAAACAACTAAACAAGCAAAACAAACCAAAACAAAAAATTAATTGAGATTTAGTACCACCAATGCCTGCCTGCTAAAACTGCTAATTAGATACCAGGAAGTCACCAGCCCTTCCAAATACTGGCCAGAGAACAATGACTAGCACAGAGACTTGTATTCAATGTGTTACCACCAGGATCAAGTATTTCTCAACTCAATTTCTAATAAGCTGTAACTTTAACCAGATGTTAACCAGGTATCCTGATAATAGTATGCCAAAATGCATTTACTCAAGTTTTTAATACTAATCTATTACTAAAAAGTATACCTAAAATACTTCCAAAATTCCACCCATTCTCACATTGCTTTAATTTATAATTTCAAATAATTTATATAAGCCATAAAACTGATTGGCTCTAAAACTTTACCAGTTTGTATACAAGGAACACAGAAAATAGGAATACCCGAGTGACCTGAGTGCCACATCCACCTGAAAAACTGGACTGACTATGCATGATTATTTTAATTCAAGACAGCAATTTTGCTTCTTTGGTCTGCCTTCACTCAAGGTGTGCAAAACCACAGCAAGCAACTTCCCAAAGTCATCAATAAAACATCATGTAACAAACCCGATTCCTGTTGATGGATTCAATCTCCCTTTGATATCTGTTTAAAATAAGTAAAAAGGAGAGTGTGAGAGAGGTTGTAGGTGCGAGGAAAAGAGGGTTTACTTAGTTCCTTTTGCTCAACAACTTCGTAATCCATTTGCTGCTTTCCCACCTCTCACCCCTGCGCGTTGCTTAGCTGGAAACTGGGCTGCAAGAATGTGGAGAGTGTAAACAGTCTTTTATTGTCCAAAAGGATAGGAGTGTGAAAGCAATGGGTGCCTTATCGCAGGACTGCAGCTCGCTACTTCATTGCTGTGATAAACCGCTGGAGCAAAAAACATTACACGACAAGCACAATCCGAAACCGGATTAGAATTTGACATAAGCTTCCTCAAAAACTAATCAATCAACTCACACTGTAATATTAGACTCCAGTTCTTAAGGAGGCTGTTTAATCCCTTCAAGGTTTATTACACATTCCCTACTGACTACAGAGACAAACTTTCTGATACTTTCAGCCGGGAAAGAGAGGCACAACTTTCGCACCACGAATCGGAGGGGACTGAAATCAAAACTTCCCTCCGCCCCCAGATAACTTCGAATTCACATTTTAAAAACACTCCTTAAAGGGAAGATTGCCGAACCTGCTTGCAAATACAAGTTTTCCTCTTTTTAAACCTCTCCCACCGCGTTACCACGAGCACTAGGACCATTTTTCTACTACTGACACTCCACAACCCAGCAGTTTCTGGCTCAGGGAGAAGCTGGCCTCCGCGTTCCCGACTCCAGCCGCGCACCTCGCTGTCCTTCCCTCCCCTACACGGGTCCGGGGGCCAACTTTACACTTCACCCCCAACGTCAGTCCCAAATCCCCCGCTGCACGCAAAGGAACACGTAGCACAATACAGGTGCGTGCTACAGTCCAGGGTAAAAATTAGCAGCCCCCCATGCCCGCGCTGCAGCAAGCCGAAAATAACGGGAGCTTCCGAAGCGCGGGTGACTCGACCTGCACAGCCCGTTATGTCATCCCCACGAAGAGAGACACCTGAGCCCAGCAGAAAACTTTTCTGGAGCAGGCAGTTCCGGGCGGTACTCGGCACCCGCCCGCCCGCCGTGCCCAGCCCCACGGTGGCTCCCAGCGCATCCCGGCTCCCGGAGCCGCTCTCTACCTGCGTGCCCCACCATCCCAAACAACCCCGCCGAGCGGCAAACGCCTGGAAAAGCACGGACGCACTTAATACATATATGTATATATACACATATTAAAAGAAAGAGATAAGAATAGCTGTCGTGCTGATGGGAGGCTGCCCGCGGGCGCGGTGCGCGCTGCCCGGAGCTAGCTTTGCCTTTGCCGTCAGAGTAGACCGCGTCTGCCGCTCGCACCAGCGGGAAAGGAGCCATTTCCCCCGAAGTCCTGCGGCGGGGACCGGAGAGGGACCGCGGGGAAGGACACTTACGAGCTGGAGGACGCCCTGGACGACGATGAGGGGCAGGGGCCGCAGCTGCACCATCCTGGCTGCCGGTCTAAGAAGCGACTCCCTTCGCACGGGTCTCGCACATCTCCGCTGCGGGGAGCGGGGGGGCCGGGCTGAGCGCAGGGACACGCCGCCCCGCTTGTCCCCCCTCACGGGGCGCTGGCAGGCAGCGGCGAGGCCCCGGCACTGGCACGCCGCTCCGCGCGAAGCCGCTCAGCTCCGCGGGCGGCCATAGCGGGCAGGAGGACGAAAAAAGGAGGCGGGGGGCGGCGGTGGCGGCGCTGCCCAGCCGGGCGGCCGCGGCACCCCCTGCGGGGCGGAGGGGAAACCCCTCACACCCTAGCGCGGACCGGCGGCGCGACGGAATAGGAGCGGTCCGAGCCCGCCGCCCTGCTGCCTGCCATGGTGCTGCTGGGGAGAAGCAGCCACCCAGCCAAACCGAAGTTGAGACGAACCACAGCGAGGAATAGAGAACGAAGGAAGCATCCCCACCGGGCGCTGAGAAAACCCTATTGCCCCGGGCGGGGCGCCCCTCACGGAAAGTTTAAAGGCGTGGCGGCCCCTCCTCCGCCTGTAGCCACCGCCGGGCCAGAGAGCAATGGAGGCCTGCGGGGCTATGAGCCCAGGTTTATCGGGGGGGGGGAAGCAGCCCCGCTGCTACCCCCTCCTCAGGGAGCTGTCGCTGGCTGGCCCAGCCGCCAGCCTCATGCTCTGGTACGAAAGGAGTGACAGGTGAAGAATTTGACTTAACGTGTCCCTTTCCCAGTTGTGCTTTATAGGAAAACTGCTGTCACCGTTCTGTTTCCCAAGGGTCGATGTGCCCTCCCACCCCCGGCACCCACACGCTGTGGTCCTTGTGGGGAAATTCAACGGGTTTCTTCTCCCCAGCTATGAGGGAGGACGCATAGTGGGACGGGGGCTTGGGGTCTGGATGCGCCCCTCGGCCTGCCCAGGGCCACCACATGTCTGTGCCCTTGAGCGGTCCCGGGTACTGTGTCAAGTTCAGGTGGGCTCTTCGTGTGGGGCTTAAGCTGTGCTGGGCGTGGGTTGGAGCGGTGCTGCTGGAGACAAGGGGCATGCTGTGCCTGGTAAGTAGCATCCAAGTGTGCTGGGAGCCCGAGGGCTGGAGGATCTGGCTTCAAAGAAGTCACTCTGGGGTTATATCCATTTAATAACATAAATTAATTAACACATTGTGGACCTGCTTTTGATATGGGCATAAGCAGCCTGAAAATTTCATTCCTGTGCTGTCAAGCTGCAGGAGAGACCACCTTGTAATGCAGTAGCCTTGAAAGGGGAGATACAGTTCTGAGAGCAGGAGGCCAGGACCTGACGGAAAGCAGCCATGTTTTGGCACACGTGCCTAGAGCTGGCTCGGTAGCACCGTAACAGATATACCTGCATCCAGTCTGGCAGTGTGGGCGGTTGTTGGTCGGCAATGCACGTGGAATGTGATACACAAGCTCTCTGCCACTGAAGTGAACTTAGTGGCATCAGTTTCCAACCCTGCATCTCATTTGCAGATTAGTTTCCTCTTAATTCTTGGTTTCCCTGTCTCATCTTACTAGGCCTGTGTTCAGGTTACGTTTTAACTACCTGTGTATTTTCAACCCCTAAAATCCTTGCCAGGGGAGACAGTTTTGCAAGACCTTTCACTGCGCTGGTGAGCAGCCATGATTTTACCAGGTAGTGACTGTGTTTATTTAGCTGTTACACCCCACCCATTCCTTTCCCAGCTCTGCTGTTAGGTGTCCTGAAAAACATATCATGTGGATGTGATCGAGCCGCAGACACTGATCTCTCATTTGGGTTCAGAAACAACGTTTGCTCTATAGCAAAGGAAAATACATATAAACTCAACAACTCTAAAATGGGTTCATTTGCAGCAGATTCAAAGATTCAGACAAAAGCAGAAACAGTGTTAATCACTGAGTCAAAAGGTTATAAAAAGTTCTTTTTAAAGTGTTTATTTTAGTGTTCTTCAACCTGTTATGCTACCATTTGATTTTATTTTTAATATAAAATGATCAGCATAAGATGTGTTAGGATTTTCCTGGTAGAATTTACATCTAAAAGATGTCTTCACATCCTGGATGGAAAATAGTTAAATGCTGCTACACATATGCTTAGTATAAAAAACATTTAAAAAGTATATTTTCTGTGGTACAGAAATTATATATTTGCATGTGTGAATTACCCAGTTATTGGTCTAACTGTAAGGAAGCACTCTATTGAGCTGACCAAAGCTGTTGTATTGAGCATCCTGTGCAGGGGTGAGCCATGTAGGTGTGAGTTTACCTTGTGCCAGGCTAGTAACGGCAATAGTGGTCTGGTCTCGCTCGGGTCCTCATAGTAAATGGAAACATCTTGAGTGCTATCTACTGCTCACAGGCGGTACTGCCTGCGAGTGCAGAGTGAAGATTTTATTTCCTCATGACGAATTGCATTATACAGCTGGGTGAAAAGACTGTTATGCAATTAGTTAGAATTAGGAAGACTAAATTCGGATGAAGTATTTAGATAAATCTTTTTTCAAATGGAAAGCTGTGCTCTATAAATTTAAGGAAGGTCGAATTTCTATAACTGGCTTTTAATGGAACAATAGTGTTTAAACTAAAATACTGTACTATCCTATTAAATACCAACAGACTCCACTTAAATGACATTAACTTTGTCACACAAGCTATAAGAAGCTGGCCTTAAACCATGCTTTTTCCGGAGTAACTATCAGGAAATATTTGTTAAGCACTTTGAAGATGAAAAGCACTGTGCACAATAAGTTATTATTGTTATTTGTATTACTTCCCAGAAGAGTGATGGTAGGGTTGGTTAAGAACAGAATGTAAGGCCTGAGCTTTGTGTTTCCCTGCTTTGGCACGTTAGCGTGATCTTCAGACGTCATTTAAATGGGGAAAGAAAATTTTTCTGGTCTAATTTTAGGGCATAGTAGCAAATAGTTGGTTCATTTCAGGAAATAACAGTTGTATATGGCAGGAAGTAATACTAATCTCTCTAGAAATGGATTCATGAGCCAGCTGTGGAAAAACTAAACTAAGAACTCAGGGTCCTACTAAACCATCTCTGCTGCTGCAAGACAATGAAAAATATCTGATTAATAATGATCTCTGATGCTTGTGCATAAAGTTAATAGTAATTTTTATTCCTTTATCAAGGAATTCAGAAGCACAAAAAGTAAAACCTGTAGTTAGCATCAAACCCATCTGTCAGTCAACCTCAGTTTAATTTTTAAATCCCATTCCTCTGAGTTAACTTAAAACACTGACATCAACTTCTGCTTGTCTTAGTCCTAGGACTCTTCACTCTGTTTCCAAATATTAGAAGTGGTGGACTGGGAAGAGCAGCTGGTGTCACTCAGTCTATCTCTCTAGAGTGCAGGCAGTGAAGTGTTGGTTCTTTTTGGAAACTCTTCAGGATCTGTCTTTAAATTAGCTAGTCAGGAGTGGGGGGAATCCCACGCTGCATAAGGAAGCCGTTCCAAAAATTCACTCTTGGCATTTGAAAACCTTCTAAACTTCTAGTTTCCAGATTTACTGCATTTGATAGGTGGTTTTATACACTCTTGTTCTTTTATAGTCACTGCTTTATCTTGGTGAGCTCCTCTTCCTCCTTCTGACAACGTGTAGCCCCCGAAATTTAGAAGGTACAGATTCCCTCTCACATTTTATTAATTATGTGAACCAGGAGGCAGTCTGTCTTAGGCAATAGCTCTGCATTTCCTGTGTTAGTCTAGTAAAGCTTTTCTTTTATCTATTCCCATTAGAATTAATCTTTTTTGAATGTGGGTACATGTCCAAATTTAGATGTTAGTAGTCTTGTGGAACATCATGAATGCCTAATCTGTCTCTGTTGGAAATATGTTCTCTGGAACATGTTGTTATTGTATTTCCCTTTTCAAGAATATGTAACAATTATATTTTCTCTTTATTGTTCTGGTTGTTCCAACATGTTATCCAGATCCTTCACACTACCGACTGCCTACTGTGTGTGTGTCAGTAGCACATTTCAATAGCAAGGTCCTAAATTTATGCAGGAATTGTGAATTAATTTATTGAATAGTAGTGGTCCCAAGATCAGTCTTTGGTGAATTGTATTACTTATTTCCTTCCAGACCCTAAGTGCAACCTGTTAAACCATACATTACCCTCTTCACAACCTTTTCCTAATCACCTTCTTCAGCCTATGTAATTTCTTCCCACATGACATCCAGTCATGTTTTGATTGAAGGCCTGCTAGATGACTCTATTTAATTTGCCTAGAAAATTAGCAACCTAATGAAAGGCAGGTAATGAAATATTCATTATCCTAGAAATAATCTGTACCTTTCTGTATTAAATAAACACACCAAAACGAGCCCAAACAAAAACCAAATAAATTGATCCCATTTCCTGTCTCAAACAGAGATTGCCTTCCCACTGGAATTTTCTATCAAATCGGTTAATTAGAGTTACACACAAAGTCTTTTCCTCAGTGCAGCTAGTGTTCTGGGTTTCTCCGTAGTGACTAGTCTGAACAGAGAATAATAGTCTGGTATTGCTGTTTACTACTGCTGCTTTAACTCGGGTAGTGAATCTGTGCTGTAGCACTGACAAACTTTAGTTCAGATCCTTAAAGAAGTTTGTTACAAATTTAGATTTAAACCTTGGTTTTAGAAGTCTATGGGGGACCACTGTATTATAGAATCATAGAATAGTTAGGGTTGGAAAGGACTTTAAGATCATCTAGTTCCAACCCCCCCCCCCCCCCCCATGGGCAGGGACACCTCACACTAAACCATGCCACCTTTAATTGGATTTTTGATCTTGAAAACTATTTCAAAGAGAGATTAGTCACCAGTACTTACTAGCTCCTTTTGAGTTCCTAGAATTCAAATATATTCAGAAGTTTAAAAATCCAAGCAAGTGAAATATAACAGTGTACCAGATCTGTGAGTAGATACAAAGGAACATCCAGATCTAATTCTATGGACAAATACAACCTTTTGATAAAACAAAATTTTTAGTAAACATGCTGGTGACCCTGGAAGAGGATTGGTGAGAGCAGGTCACTAATTACAAATGAGAGGTACGCAGTAGTGGTAACCAATACATTTTAAATATTTTTATGAGTATGAATTAATAAATAAAAAGTGACATTGGCAAATCAGCAATTATCAAAGTCTAATGCCAGGCATAATACTGAAGAAATTGATACAAGACGACCTAGAAAGTAATTTGGTGTCTGATGTTCCTGCTTTTACAAAGACTAGACCAAACTTAACAGCAGTGTTTGTTTGTTGAGGTTTTTTTATGATTGCATTTATTCCCAATAATATTTTATCATGGGAGGAAAAGTTTGCACGATTCCAGCTGTAATAGTCACAAATAATGTACGTTGTGTGGTGTGTTTTTCCTTTAA